TTCTGTCCATAAATGCTTCGAATTTGCGAGTCTGAATTTTGGTGTTTATGGTTCAAGTGGAGAGGCAGCAGGACATTTGTGGGTGCCAGTACCTATCTCCGGTGATTAATTTCTGGAATGCTAATTACAGATTCCTTAATCTACCTAATCTAGTTAATTAAATGAACTTGACGAAAAGATGAATGAGCTGAGGAAACAACTGATCAATGCACAATAATTTTCATGGGATAAATGATTATATGAGGATATAGTTGGGTATTTGTGTACCTCATTCACATTCAAAACATTCAAAGAAGGATATAGTGTATGATTACTGTAGTGTCAGACAGACCATGAAGGTAGAGATAATACCTTCACTTTCATGTATATGTACTTTGTCTTCAACTCTTACACCCAATACAGTGGCTGGAGCATTTTGTGAGATGTGGCAACCCTGTGGCCTTAAGGAACATTACCATAGTAGCCAAACTAAGAATGCCAGATAAACATTCCACAGAGTTGCCACATATCACAAAATGCACCAGCTACTGTATCAGGTGTAAATGCAGGCAGACTGTACTCTTGTTTCCTCTGGTATCCAATATAATACAAGTTTTAAGCAACTTTGTAAGCTATGAGCTGCTACTATTGAGTATTCCTATACCCTCAATGTTACGGTAAGTGAAATTTCTCCATTTTGCTTCGGAGAAATAAAACTTCAACAAATATTATTCATCGCCAAAACAACAAATTTATCATTAAAAATTCTGTGCAAAGAAGAAGTGATGAGGAGGGAGAGGGTAGTGGGGTGGGGGGTGTTGAGCCAGGGACTGTGGGGAGACTGATGCAGCTCTGCCTTTATGTGTGTGGCGGGAAACAAATGACGTTATTTATTAAAGAAGACTGATATATTACACTGTATAGAGTGCTGAATAGGTTATAAACTGTATAATTTAGGACTGAATAAAAGAGGACTTAACAGGTGTATGATGCTTGGGTATAACAGGTATGTAATTAAGCTTTGAAAATCCTAATGACTTGTTTTAAAGATTAACTTATTTTGTTCACCCATTTTAAGTCATTAATTTCTACACTTTCATTAAAACCGGGCAGAAAGATTTATTTGCCAATTCCATAAGAGTTTTAAAAAATATTGTAAGGCAATGAATAAACAGCTATTTACCGATTTTAATTACTTTGAAATAAATGTTTGATCTTATATTGTTACGCCTTAATTCCTAGCTTGTAGTCATAAAAAATAGTCAACATTACACTTAGAAAAAATATCATGTGCATAATTAATGGCTTCAATATCTAGTGCAAAAAAGGCCATTGTAAATTAATATTCACTCCAATAATTACTGATCTGACAGCTAATGCCATTGAAACCTTTGGTACACTCACACGACACAAATGTTGAGGATATAATGGGCATTCCTTCCTGGACTGCAGTGGTACCCTTGGGTTATCAGCACTTGCACTCTCTCACAGCGATCACCTTAGCACTCTTCTGAACTACAAGGGTCATCATTATATTTGATGCATGGAAAGATAATTTGCATCTTATTTTAATCCAAAATATTCTATTATCACATTAGATGAAATTACCAAGAACGGTTTCATTGCCTCTCAAGTCTAACTTTGGCAAAGTTATCCTCTGCAGTAATGTTTTTTTTCTATTTGGAACAAATGACAATATACTGTACAGTCTGTGTATAAAAAAAAAATATAAGTGTTATTTCAAGATTATTATCTATAACTTTTGTCATAATTACTTAAAAGAGTCTTTGAAGTTTTGTGTCAGTAATAGCAAGGGTTGCACTTCCAAGAGAATTACGTTATAGGCATCAATAAAAGCTACTGTGATGTACTGCAGCGTGTAGCCCGGAGCACCGCCACCACCTCACACGTCACAGTGTTCACTTCCTGTCGATCCCGCACGAAATGACTCACAACGTGTAAACGTGGTCGTGGTGTCCGAGGCTCAAGAATGCAGTAGCTCAATAACATAAATATATTACAAGGAAAACACCTGTGGAAATATCACATTGAACATGGTAGATGTAACTTTTAAGTTGAGGGAGTTAAGATCAGTGTTTATCTATTAACACAAGAGAATGAAGTCTTTAGATTGAGGGAAATTATAACAAGTATTATCTATTATATTTTTACCTGTTTGTTCAATTATTTACAAAAATGAGCTTTAAGAAACTGCTACAAATATGTAAGTTAAGTCAGTAGTACACACATACTTGTAAATACAACCCATTAAGTTTATGTTTTAAGCTACACATTTTTATCTACACAACAACACCAATCAAATGAAGACACTAGAGAGCTACACACACACATGAACAAAGAAAAATGTGAAAAAGTGGCAACAGGTTTAACAGTTATCTGATATGTGTATTAGTTTTACCGTCAAAGTTATGAAAAATACAACTTGTGTAGGAGTTTATTTGTGTAAGATGTAAACTTTATAAAATTCTAAAACAAAAGAGCTGACTTTATTAAAATATGAAGATATAATCAAAATTCTTATGTTTAAAATATTATTGTTATTATTGTTATGTCTCTTTCACTTTTATCTCTACTTCAGGCAACAAGTTTTCATTAACGTTAATTTTTCAAAACAAAAGTTATTCATATACAAGACGCTACAGTGAGTGACTACAGTCCAGTGACTGATCATCGGCCAACCCAGGTGATGTAGCTTGTCACTGTTGTGTTTCTATTTATTTATCTTTACCATATGATGAGGAACATGGCAGTCAGCACAGCTACTGTTATGTACTACAATAGTTAAAGAAACCATACAGAAGCAAGATGGACTTATGAGATGATATTATATACCCTATACAGTATACAGTACTTTATTTGGCTGGTGTGACACTAGTGCCTTATTTGGCTACTGTGACACTAGTGCCTTATTTGGCTACTGTGACACTAGTGCCTTATTTAGCTACTGTGACACTAGTGCCTTATTTGGCTACAGTGACACTAGTGCCTTATTTGGCTGGTGTGACACTAGTGCCTTATTTGGCTGGTGTGACACTAGTGCCTTATTTGGCTACTGTGACACTAGTGCCTTATTTAGCTGGTGTGACACTAGTGCCTCATTTAGAAGACATGATACTAGTTCCTTGTATGGCTGTCCTGACACCAATTTGTTATATGGCTGATATAACCACAAACACGCATAATAGTAATAACTGATATTTAGTCAATTTTACCAAGGGTTGCCAACAAAGCTAATGAGATGCTTATTGCCAGTAAATACTTATGTCAATGTCTCTCTAAGAGTATACTATAACATCACCATCACCATTTTAGAGCCATTTTCCATGCTTGCTTGGGTTAACAACACAGTAATAACTTGGCTCTAAAAAATACAACTTAGCTATTGCCAGCTAATGAGTTATATGTTTTAATCTAACGTTTGATGGTTTGTGATTTATTAATAATTTGATGCAATCAAGTAGTGTGAGTCACCTACACCAGCCTTGTGAAATGTGTTGTGTCCCACCTGCTAGTAATTCACAAGTCATGAAAGTGAAATTTATAAGATGATGTCCTGTTTAACCTGACTTGCCTCTGCAATGTTCCATCAAATTGGTGTTACATTACTGATAACTTGATGGGTTATTTGTCTGTGCCTTAGTCGACATAGCACTTGAAGCGTGAACATAGGGGTTTCTGTCTATTTTCTACAGTAGAGGCCATGAGTAGAATGACCACAAGCCATCAGGGCAGATACACTGATAATTCATAGTTTGACAAGGATCATGACCCAGAGGAGTGCAAAAATGTGACATAAGGAGAAGGAGGAGTGCTCATACCAGTGGCCCCAAATTCCTCCTTCTAACCAGTCTGGCAACGAGAGTTTTGTGGTCCACAGAGAATAATAAAAAATGCAGATTCTAAGGAGAACTCTTGTATTATTACTGAATACTGAATGTTGATAATAATCACTGTAGAATTAGATTCATGTATGAGATCACTGCATATAGACCACTTCTGTGCTTCCCATCCCAAACCACGTGCCATGATAATTCTTCAGAGTCTAGTGAAGCTGTCATAAATACATGGCACTATATTGGAGTGAGTATGGGGTTTGACCTGTACTGGTAGAGGGGAACCAGGAGCCAGTCAGTTTGGGGGGGATGGGTAGGGTTTCACTGCCGCCTAGATGGGATGCCCACTTACCCTGTGCTTCGTACTTACTGGAGAAGTTGCGAGTCGCCAGCATTGTCGTCAGGATCGCACCCTGCAACACGGCAACCAACGGTAAGGGCTTGGACAGGAACACGAGGATAGGGAGTAGGAGGGTAGAGAGATGAAGGAAGGAATATGGAGGATAAAATAATTATAAATGTTTCCAGCACGAGTTAGAAAGGGAACAGTGATCTCAAAAGTCTTCTGATAAGGAAGTAAAGTGAACAAAAACTAGGAGAAGCATAAGATGGAATACTTAAATCTTAAGAAAAGAATGAAAAAAGAAATGGTTGGAGGTCGAATAGCAAATCAGCATTAGGCATTAGGAGTTAGGAAAGTTGGGGTATGGGCGAGGATATAGGTGAGGGGAACTTTGTTGGCTGTAGACCAGGTACCCAAGATCGCAGACGGAGCAGAGGAGATCAGTAGAACAAAATAAAGCATCACACGTGTTAAAAAGTAGTAAAGATAAAAGACAAACCGTGATATGTAACAAAATAGGACATAGGACAAGCCAATCTGGAATATTAATCCTGTATATGCCACACGGACAACACACCCGGACACAACAAGGGATATGCAGGTTTAATATTCAACTGGTCTGATCTGTTCAATCCTGTGTAAATCAAACAGACGACTACATAAGCGCAGATCCAGCAGCAGCCTGTAAACCCAGAATTTTTGGAAAAGGTGAAGATGGGAATGAAAATGTTGAGGAACGAAGTCAAGGAAGAGGAAAACTTGAGTAATGTTAATAAAAAGATACAAACTTGGAAAATCTGATACAAGCATTCCCACAGACTTACTAGAGAAGTTGCACGCAGTGGCAAGCATGGTCGTCAGGATGGCGCCCTGTAATGAGGCCACACCAAGTCATGAACCACAGTCACAAGGCCAAAAGGACACAAAAGATAAAGAAGAAGAGCAACTTGGGAAGAATGAAGAGAGATAGGCAGAGAACGATCCAAAAGTGGTATTGGGGGGAACCAACATCTAAGAGCTGGTGAAATATTATTATGGTGTATTAAACACGTCTCTCAAACTTGTAACTCCTACACTCACACTGAAGCTTCAATCCTCTATATCAAAACTTATAATAAAATGTTCTCATCGGTGACAAGTGAGCCAATATTGGGTTATGTGGATTACTCACAATTTATCTCTTTGGTAGAAATAGCTTTACAGTATTTTAAAATGTTATATTTACTGAAAATAAATTTATCTTCAACTTTATTATGGCATCATTTTCTATTTTAACACTAATATACAATATCATATCTTATTAATACACTGAGGTAAAAGATTACTTCATTACTGTTCACGGCTGTAAGTTGACATGATAAGTGACCACATCACTTGTCAAACTCTCTCTACAGTTACACGTTATGGATGACTCACTACCGCGTGACAACACGTCCGACTCATCTAATATGACACTTCTCAGCCACAATTAATATTCCATAATGGTTCTCTGTATCTAAGAAAGGTTGAAATAGCCTTAGTGTCTGGTTTATATAATAACTACATTTACATGGACTTAAAATATTACTTCTGTTCTCCTCAAGAATTTTATAAAATACTGTATTATTAAATTTTACTGTATTGTGCTGTTGTCTGGAGGACTTGTGACTACAGTATACAGGGTTTAAAAAAAATTTAGACATTACACACTACCTTACTGTTACAGATTTTCATGGTAATTATATGGGTCTATATTACAACAGCAAAAACTGACCTCACTTATTGAAGAGCGAGATCTCCCGTAAATTTGGTTGACCTCGCACATCAGCAAGAGATGATGACAGAATTATTGTTGTTGTAGTAATGCAAATATTCATGCAATCACCTCCAAAATCTAGTGTAAGTCAGTGTGTGTATACTGTACATTATTTTGAGTCACCTTGTATAGTGGAAGGTGTCCCTCTTGACTAAACTTGATCAAAACATTTATCTCATTGAATGTTTTTGTTTGCTGATCCTTTAACTTATCAATTCACTAACAGGTCAGGGGAATTTTATTTTCTATTTCAGATACCCCCTCCCCCCTCTCCTCAAAGAAAGAGCTTTAATTCAATAACAAGTAATGGGAACTTTATTTTCAATTTCAGCTAAACAAAAAAATAATTAACCACAGTAAACTGCCTGAAAGAGACTGAACACTGAAAATTAAAAGATCAATGGTGGGGAGCTGAAGAAATACAGGAATATTACAGCCACTACAAAAGATACAGTCAAGTAGTGGATGATGCCATACAGCAGTTCATCCTGACCCACAGAGAACTTGACAAACTAAAACAAAAGAGACCTTTGATGTTTGTGTGTCTGGGTGTTATGTCCCCTTGACACCTATGATGCGTGTGTGTGTTATGTCCCCGTGACACCTATGATACTTGTGTGTATTACTTTCCCTTGACACTTATGATGGTTGAGTGTGTCACCTCCCCCTTGACACCCATGATATGTGTATCACCTTCCCTTTACATCTGCCCTGATAATCACTAGTCACAGCAACACCTCCCTCACCTTGTGAAGTATTCAGGATTTGTTCAACTCATAATAAATAAAATTTATTCTGGTTTAAAACAAATACTATAAATAAGGTGTATATTGGGGCTATAATACTTGTTTAAGATTCAGGAGACATTAACGATGTTTAAAGATACAGAGAACTGGGTGTTAAGTGAGTCTTATGCTAATTTAAGGAGAGAACCATTTTTTTAAGGTTAATTTCTTGTACGTACTTTTTAGTAATATATGACTAGTAAAACTTACCTTCAGCTTTCTTCTGGCGTTGAACTTTCTCAAACAGTCGACAGTCTCCTGCCTGTGTACTACGCTGGCCACACGCTCACGTTGCTGTTAAGTGAAATTTCTGTGTCAGTCATTTGAAAACTGTACAATGAGACCTCTATTTAATGGACTGTATGGTGAGGAAAGTCCATTATATTGAGGGTCTGTTAGACATGAAACCTCCATTTCATGGTTTTTATGAAAAGAGAAGTCTGTTATATGGAGGTTTCACTTCATTAAAAATATGTCATATCACACAATGAAAAGATATTGATAAAAATAACTGAAATCTTTAAACTATGGTATCTGTACTTATAATGTTTGTCTGTTTATAATTAAACTAACTCATTGTACTCAAGAATCATGTAAAACTCAATATGGTTAATGTTAATGATAACTATTCAAATAAATGTGATGAAATTTTTGTAAAGCATTAGTGATCCCAGTGACTCATTTCTTTTTCCTTTACTGTATTAATCAACTCTTCATAATATAAGACAGCATTTTTACACAAGAAATTTGATCAATCAATGACAATTTTTCCATTCAGATACATGACTGGCATTTTATTTTGTATTCTGAAATTATCCAGCAAAAGTACAATCAGAGTTGAGCGAGAGACTGTGGAACAATATAAACAACAACATACGCAGATCCATGGATGCTTCAGAGCTTCAGCCGCTGTGATGCGCTTGGCAGGATTGACAGTCAACATGGAATTGATGAGGTTTTTGGCTTCAGGAGTAACTGTGTCCCACTCAGGTGATGGATACTGAAGAGGGAGATTTTATTTAATATGTATTTCTTAAATCTCGAGAATATAGTACGGAGAATGCCAATAATTCGCAAAAGCCGTCCTGTGTTGGTGGATGTGAGCCGGACACTAAAACAAAAATATTCTTGCAAGAAGACTCGATAGAAGAACCACAGAAGCCCTCAGACATGATGAAACAAATGGATGAGAACTTAAGCTTTAACTGGTGGCTGAAGATTCATTAATCAGTTCCCTTATGTATAAAAATACTGTAGATTGAAAATGAACATATAACTTCCACTGATGATGGCTGCTGTCCCTACAACTAACTTCCACTGATAATGGCCACCATCCCTACAGCTAACTTCCACTGATAATGGCCACCGTCCCTACAGCTAACTTCCACTGATGATGACTGCCATATAAGGGTTAAGAAATGAGTCTGTTGCAGAAGCAGTCAACAAAGGTAAATGCAATACAAACTAGAACTACACTGAAACAACCTGAACGTCCTCACCACAACAAAGTTAATGCCTACAATAATTCGTACAGGTATATACAAGCTCAAGACTATATAATATAAAAACATGACTCACATCTTCAAGTTTAAGGCAAGAAATCTGCAAAAAAGAGTCCATGATCTATCCAAGACATAGAGGGGGAATTACCATACATAAATCATCAACCTTAAATACAGTATCTGACAGATGGACAGAAGAGCACATTTTGGCATGGCCCACAAAACACATTCAACTACACCGAAGTACTATTAATAAGCCAAATACAAGCACTGTGTCCAGGTTTGGTGAAAATACTGCAAGGTGTTCTTACAAACAAGAAGATCCACAATACAGTACATTCACCTGTACCAGAGTCATCTAAACCGAACACACCTGATGTAGACAATAATGTGTTGAAATGGTTGTCTAACTTGGTAACAATAGTAAGGACACAATTCATAAAGGCCATACTTGTCATTATACTCCAGATTCAGGTGAATGAACACTCAGCACCTGAAAAAAATCTCTCCTCCCTTCATTTTTCAGCAGAATCATCTATAAACAATTATTGTATATACCTACTTTAATTTTTGTTTTTAAATCTTCATAACTATATGAATTGTCCGGTAAATGACAAGTATCTAATCAATTCCTCAACACAGTCATTCATTACTCGGCTGTCAAATATTCCTGGAAGAGAAAAACAACTTCTTTATTTTTACTGGTATACATCTTTTATTTTTAACTAATAAACTTGAGACTTCAAAAGGCACACACAAGACTGTGATCCCATGAAGTTTAGCCCCCCAAGCTTATTTCATCTGATAATTACAGTCTAATTTGTAACTGGCCAGTGTATAGTATAAGAGATTTAACAAACTAATCCCAGAAGTAACTCATGACTTCAAAAGGTATACTGTACAAGGCTGGGATTACCTTTAGATTAGCACTCTAGGCTTATGTCACCTGATAATTATAATTCAGTACAGTAGTCTAAGTTGCAGCTGGTCAAGGTATAGTATAAGAGACATTGTATAAGAACTCAGAAGTAACTCAAGATCTCAAAAGACACACAAGACTGGGGTCACCCGAAGATTAGCCTCTCCAGTGTATTTCACCTGATAGTTAAACACTGTTAACTGCAACTACCATAGTCAGTGTACAGTACAGTATAAGAGACGTGGGGGAGGAAGTAGCCCCTGAAGTAACTTACATCATAAGCTCCGGCTTTGATCTGGGCGTACAACCTGTGCTGGTCCTCATCCCAGAAGGGCGGGTAACCCACCAGGAGGATGTACAGGATCACACCTGATAATAAACAAGAAAAATATTAATAAAATTTACAAAAATAAATAGAGAAATAAAGATATCACCTTAAAACTATACTTGTGGTGAGTTATGTTATGTCAGCAGTTATGGTGGAAACATACGAGCATTGCCTTACAGTAGATGAGTCTTACCACATGCCCAGATGTCGACAGGTTTCCCATATGGCTCTTTCTTGAGTACTTCTGGTGAGAGGTAACCCGGCGTACCCGCGAACCCTGCAACATTAATACCTCATTAATACCTTGCTAACACTTAGTACAGCCTAACAATAAAAATGCAATGTAAAAATAATAATAATAATAATATATAATAATAATAATAATAATAATAATAATATTAATAATAATAATGATAATAATAATAAAAATAATAATAATAATAATAATAATAATAATAATAATAATAATTATAATAATAATAAAAATAATAATAATAATAATAATAATAATAATAATAATAATAATAATAATAATAATAATAATAATTATAATAATAATAAAAATAATAATAATAATAATAATAATAATAATAATAATAATAATAATAATAATGTACCTGTAATAATAAAAAATGTAACTCACTTATTTTCTAGATTCATATTCATTTGACTAGTCACCTCAGCCTCACATAATGATCCAAGTGGAAATAAAGCTTCTTAGAAATCTGTCTACACCTAACCTGACCTGATCTGACCTAACCCACTAACTGTTGACCATCTCAGAACCAGAGGCTCAACTTGCCATCCTTGACCATAAGAAAAGAAAGACTCAAGTGATGAGATCTATGTTGCCGATTTATTCCAGAACTATATTCATGGTGCCCTGACCAGCCATCATTACCTCTGGCAATACGGTATAACCTAACATATGTATTAAGAGTTGTGAGTGGCTGGGACTCCATGGCAATTGAAACCGAACTCAAAGGTAAACATCTTTAGGACTCAGAGCGACGTTTGCTCAAGCGAATCCACATTTGGCTCTTGGTTCCCGACTGTGAGGCAATTTATTTGCTTTGGTGTGTCTGTGGACTGTATAAAAATAGTGTGTTTTATTTAGTTATGGTGATGTGTGTGTGTGTGTGTGTGTGTGTTGGTGTGTGTGTGTGTGTGTTGGTATGTGTGTGTGTTGGTATGTGTCTGTGAGTGTGTGTTATACCACCACATGTCGCAAATATTTTATATAGTTTCCAATGGAGGGCTAAGAAACTATCCTTACATTTACCCTGTCCATTATCTATTTATCTCTATTTATTTATCTTTCTTTTATCTATGTTTATATTTTAACCTTAGCAAGGTAAGACATTTCAGGCTGTGCCTTTATCACCTCGACAGCCAATCAGACGCCAGAGCAGGCCGAGTAAGTCTTTGATCACACCAACCTTTGATCAAGATGAACTTCTACCTCCCTCCCTCCCTCTCCTTCCCTCACTCTCTCTCTCTCACTCATGACACTGACTTTCGCCTACACTCTTTAACGCGTCAGCCTCCCTCCCACACACTGTACCTCCTCCTTCTCTTCCTCCTCCCTCCCACACACTGTACCTCCTCCTTCTCTTCCTCCTCCCTCCCACACACTGTACTTCCTCCTCCTCTTCCTCCTCCCTCCCACACACTGTACTTCCTCCTTCTCTTCCTCCTCCCTCCCACACACTGTACCTCCTCCTTCTCTTCCTCCTCCTCCCCACACTGTACCTCCTCCTTCTCTTCCTCCTCCCCTCCCACACACTGTCCCTCCTCCTTCTCTTCCCTCCTCCCTCCCACACACCTGTACCTCCTCCTTCTTCCTCCTCCCTCCCCACACTGCCCTCCTCTCCCTCCTCCCTCCCACACTACCTCCTTTCTCTCCTCCTCCCTCCCTCCCACACACTGTACCTCCTCCTTCTTCTCCCTCCTCCCCCCACACTGTACCTCCTCCTTCTCTCCTCCCTCCCCACACACTGTACCTCCTCCTTCTTCTCCTCCTCCTCCCTCCTCACACTTGTACCTCCTCCTTCTTCCTCCTCCCTCCCACACACTGTACCTCCTCCTCTTCCTCCCCCTCCCACACACTGTACCTCCTCCTTCTTCTCCTCCCACACACTCCTCCTCCTTCTCTCCCCCCCACACAGTGTACCTCCTCCTTCTCTTCCCCCTCCCACACATTATACCTCCTCCTTCTCTTCCCCCTCCCTCCCACACACTGCAACTCCTCCTCCACCTCTTTCTCTTCTTAATTTTGCTTATAATCTCAGTCTTATGTCGTTCGCACGGCGCAGTTTAAGGCTCCATGGCCAAGAAGGTGAAATTCTGATAATTAAGTATCGTCCAAGTAATTAGTACAATTAGTTATCAAATTTTCAAGCTCCTGGGACAATTAGGAAAATTAATTATACAAATTTCAACATTTCGACCATAGATCCTGATTCAGCATATCGAGGACGACTTATAATTATATTTTGAACAGAATCAAATTTCAATCCTGCCCCCCACCCACCCACCCACCCACACAAAATAAATAAATCAAGAGGTATCACACGATAACAAAGTACAAACATTTTAACTCTGCATAACAAGATATATTTTCACTCTGGATGTTTTAATATTAACAAAGATTTTAGTAACATGAAGGTACCGTAGCTATATATTTTACACCATTAAATTTTACACTATAACGAGGTAAGCAGAGTGATTTTAAAATTTAATAAGGAAGGGTGATAATAATCCCTATAAGACTAGTGGGGGAGCAAAAATTATTCCCGTTTTTTATGATAATCAAGAGAAGAAGAGGGGGAACTTTTATAATATAAGGGAGGCTATATTTGGCCTTCTTATTTATAGTGACATTATGTGGAGTTTGGGGCCTTTCCACTGCACACACACTCCACCTTCACTATACACACTCAACCCTACACTATCCACACACTACACTCCCCTATCCACAACCCATTAACCACACTCCATCCTCCACTATCCACCCTCCACTAACCACACTCCACCCTACACTATCCACACTCCATTAATTCTCCCAAGAGTGTTTAATATTTCCTCGTCCCTTTTGTTGCTGTGATCTCAGACTAAACTCGCAGTGTGTTTCTTGTCTCACATACTAAGACCACACTGTCTCTCTCCCCCTCCTCTCTCTTCTCCCCCTACTCTCCCCCTCTCCCTCAACCCCTCCCACATCCTCCCCCTCCCCATCCCAAATCATCCCCATCTCTGTCAACCCTTCATCTACCTCCCCTCCCAGATCCTCTCCCCCTCTCCTTCACCACCCTCTCACCTCCCCTCCCAGATCCTCCCCCTCAACTCCTCCCCCACCTCCCCCTCCTCTACCACCCCTCCCCTTCCCAATTTCACTACGAGGTTTGTGGAAAAAAAAAGTTTCCTTATTAATTAAAAAGACACAATTTACACGGCACTATAATTGCTTTTAGCCATTTTCTTGCTCAGTATAATTGCAATAATGTTGATGACTGTGTATAATTGCAATGATATATATGTACTGTATAATTGCAATAGATGTCAGAGTATAATTACACACGGGAGGAACAGTTAACACAGGAAGGTACTCTTAAAAAGGTACTCAACAAATGCACTCAACAAAAGCACTCCTAACAACAGGTACTCTAAAGGTACTTACCAAAAGTGCTCAAAAGGTACTCTACAAAGGTACTCAAGAAAGGTACCCAACAAAAAAGGTACTCAACAAAAAAAGTACTCAACAAAAAGGTACTCAAGAAAGGTACTCACCAAACCATGCCTGCTGATCGCCCTGGACCTCGATAGCTAAGCCAAAGTCGGCGAGTTTGACGGCGGCCCCCTTAGCTTTGCTGGCCAGTAGGAGGTTCTCGGGCTGTGGGGCGGACACACTTGGTAAACACACTTATTAACCTAAACACACTCACATGGTTAACACACTTATTAACCTAAACACACTCACATGGTTAACACACTTATTAACCTAAACACACTCACATGGTTAACACACTCATTAACCTTAACACACTCATACATGGTTAACACACTCATTAACCTTAACACACTCACCACACTCACACTTGGTTAAGACACTTATTAACATTTCACACACACTCACATGGTTAACACACTTATTAACCTTCACACACAAACACACTCACAAGGTTAACGAATTTCTTAACCTACGCAATCACACACACACACACACACACACACACACACACACACACACACACACACACACACACACACACACACACACACACACACACACACACACACACACACACACACACACACACACACACACACAAATTGATCACGAGCGAAAAATGGTGGAAATATTGAAGGAAAACATTAGACTAGACTCGTATGAAGGCCATTTTCTCGCCATATTGTATCTGGCTGGAGGTAATTGTCAATAAGCTTCACACTGTGACTGATTGAATCACATATTGGCGATAATTCAGTATTTTTGGGTGGTGATTTTGACGACGGGTCCAAATAATACGTGAATGTATTTTCTACAACAACTACAACAATAACAACAACATTAATAACAACAACACTACAACAATAACAAGAACAATAATAACAACAACAACAACAATACTACTACTACTACTACTACTACTACTACTACTACTACTACTACTACTACTACCACAACACTATACTATTACTACAGCAACAACAACAACACTATACTACTACTATTGGAAGAAGAAGAAGAAGAAGAAGAAGAAGAAGAAGAAGAAGAAGAAGAAGAAGAAGAAGAAGAAGAAGAAGAAGAAGAAGAAGAAGAAGAAGAAGAAGAAGAAGAAGAAGAAGAAGAAGAAGAAGAAGAAGAAGAAGAAGAAGGAGGAGGAGGAGGAGGAGGAGGAGGAGGAGGAGGAGGAGGAGGAGGAGGAGGACGATAAATGGGTGTAGGAGACCATTATCCCTGGAGACTGATGAAGCCCACGTAACCAACGATGGCTAGAGGAGACCAGGGAAGAGGAGGAGGGAGAAGAGGAGGAGGGAGAATAGGAAGAGGAGAAGGAACAATAGGAAGAAAACTAAGAAGGGAAGAAGAATAGCAAGAAGAGGAGGAAGAGGAACAAGAATAGGAATAAGAAGAAGAAGAGGAGGAGGAGGAGGAGGATGAGGAGGTTAGTGCATACCCCCGTACAGCAGTCCTCTCTCTCTCTCTCTCTCTCTCTCTCTCTCTCTCTCTCTCTCTCTCTCTCTCTCTCTCTCTCTCTCTCTCTCCTAGGATCACAATTCAAAACTAACACTTCCCTTCACCACACAGGCACTATATAAAGCACCACACAAGCACTATAAAAGACACTATAACACCATAAGACTTTAATTAGGGAGGAGCACCAGGTAGCCACTATTCACCTGAGTATAATAAGTCTTATAATAAGGCTCCCTCAACTGTCTATGGAGCCTTATGGTACCTGACACGCCCTCTCAAAATACAGTCTACTACAGCAGGAACCTACAGAATACAATCTACTACAGCAAGGCACTACAGAATACAGTCTACTACAGCAGGAACTTACAAAATCCAACACACAATTACAGGAAGCTAAATACTACAATATACAACTACAGAAACCTACAGAATACACTATACAACAGGAACTTACAGAATACAATATAAAACAACAGGAACCTACAGAATACAGTCTACTACAGCAGGAACCTACAGAATACAGTCTACTACAGCAGGAACCTACAGAATACAGTCTACTACAGCAGGAACCTACAGAATACAGTCTACTACAGCAGGAACCTACATAATACAGTCTACTACAGCAGGAACCTACAGAATACAGTCTACTACAGCAGGAACCTACATAATACAGTCTACTACAGCAGGAACCTACAGAATACAGTCTACTACAGCAGGAACCTACAGAATACAGTCTACTACAGCAGGAACCTACAGAATACAGTCTACTACAGCAGGAACCTACATAATACAGTCTACTAAAGAAGGAACCTAAATAATACAATATACAATGCAGAATATAGTTCACCGTCCGACTTAGTTAAAAAAAATACATATATACAACGAAACCTCAATTTAACGGGCTATATAGAGCGGGAAATCCGTTATATCGAGGGTCTATTATATGTGAAACCTCCATTTAAAGGATTATATGTAGAGAGCAGTCCGCTATAAGGAGGTTTCACTATAATCTCGTGGTAATCACAAGTCATTCACCTTAATAATTAGTGAATTATTTCCTCAAGATCTATAATTCAAAGCAAATTATTATCAGATTTTCAAACTCTTTTAAAATTACGTATATACGGTAATAATAATTGGCAATAAAATCTGTTTTGACGGCTGGATAAACACACACTCATTTACGATAATTTCTCAAAGGTTTAAAACAATTAAAATCATATAATATAAACATACTATAAGGCTAATATATATTTTTATGGTATATATTTAAGATATATATTCAACCACATTTATTTTTGTATTATTTATTTATTTATTCATTCATTTATGTCAGGGGGTAAACAGCGTGTGTATAAGACAGTGTTCAGTTAGTCACACATCAACAAACAGATTGGTGATTTTAACGCGATAGTACAAAGTGTCCAATATAACCGATGTTTACTAGTGATATAATGTAAATACGGTTATAGTGTCTGTTCATTTACTGTGTTTACGCTATCACTACCACCACCATAACTATCACCATAGCTACCACCATCAGGATTATATTACTCTAATCATCACAACCATCACACATCACCACCACCACAACTACTACCACCATCGTGGATTGTGTTACTCTATCATCACTATCACTACTATCATCGCCACCACTATCACCATCATCACCATTATCACCATTACCATCACCACCACATAGACTATAACTCCAGATATTATAGAGAAATATTAATAAAAACAAAACACAAAAGCTATAATCATTCTAAATCCTGAAGTTCAATTATAGTTTTATCCCCTATAATTCTTCAGTATTGAGCTCATAATATATACACTGCTTGTTTAACTCCAATATTCCAAGACTTAGGATAGTTATAGGAAAAGTGTAAAATATTGGATTACTACTACACCAGTGCGTGTGTGTGTGTGCAGTCTCCCCAATGGACGAATATTTCCCATCACTAATTGTGCTTCCTGCATTATGTTGGTTGGCCTGCCTTCCTAGTATCTGTGAGGCTGCCAGTTATAATTTAATAATATTACTGTAGCGATGATACTGCCTCGTGTTGCCTGTGATGTCTCCCTACTGACTGTCAATCCCATGGGAGGACTTGACGACATGGTGTGTATCAGATAATGTTTCGTTGCCAGCACGAATCATGAGGTGATAAGTTATATTCATAATTGTTACCTCATCAATTGCGGTAAAATATCGAAATGCAGTAAATCATAATATCATTGTAATTGGATATGGCATCATAATACACCTGTAATTACTATATTTGTGAATGAATGTAATATCGGATCATAGTGTTTCATATTTCGTTCGAAGCGATTCCATTGTAACCTTGGTTCATGAAAACATAGTAACGTTATATTCCTATTTGGCCACACATCCCCTGGGGCTGAAACAGTATCTAAGGTGCAGACATCAGCGGGGTTACTCATGACGGTATTGGCTTAACATATGGTAACACAATTCATCCCCTTTCATTACATCATGTAGATAATAGGTGATATACTGCAGATATCCTGGTGATTATGAGGTACAAGAAGAAAGAACGAAAGGTGCAGAAATACCAACCCAACCGAGACTGTTGTGTACGTGTTATTGTGTTCACTTCCAAATACATCAGACCCAAGGGAGCCAATACTTTTTGGGGAGAGTGTACATGTGTGCGCGTATATAAAGAAAATACACATAAAAACAGAGAAACACCTTATATTTGTCTGTATGTTTGTAAGAATCAAAACAAACACACACACACACACACACACACACACACCACACACACACACACACACACACACACACACACACACACACACACACACACACACACACACACACACACACACACACACACACACACACACACACACACACACACACACACACACACACACACACACACACACACCAAAACACCCAGACCTTACCTTTAAATCCCTATGTACAATATTATTATGGTGACAATGATTAACACTTTCTAGAATTTGTTGGATACAGTGAGAAGCGCGTCGGCCTCACTGTAGAACTCCCTGGCCACGATATCCTCGAAGAGTTCACCTCCCGTCACTCTGTGGGTAGAGAAGGTCGCGGTGAGTGAGGGGTCAGAGGGAGGTCATTAGGGAGAGGTGAAGGGTCATAGAAGGGGTGTGGTGGGATGGGGTGTGGTGGGATGGGGTATGGTGGGTGGCTAAGGTGGATGGGGTGGGATGGCTAAGGTGATGGGCTAAGGTGGGTGGGGTGGGTGTGTGTGGGGGATCTATCACTATCATCTCCACCACACCACACCACCATCGCCGCCACCACACCACACCACCATCGCCGCCACCATACCACACCACCACCACCGTACCAACAAGGAGGAAGGAGAGGAAGAGGAAGTTCCAGGAAGTATAAAGGAGGGCAGGGAAAAGTTCTAGGAAGAGGGGAGGAGGAGGAGGGGGGAGGAGAATGGAAAGGTGAGGAGGGGGAGAAGGGAGAGAAGGAGGTGGAGACGGAGAGCGAGGGAGAGAAGGAAGAGAGGGAGGGGGAGAAGAAAGAGGAGAGAGAGTGGGGGGAGAGAAGGGCAGGAAGAGAGGAGGAGGAGGAGGAGGAGGAGGAGGAGGAGGAGGAGGAGGAGGAGGAGGAGGAGGAGGAGGAGGAGGAGGAGGAGGAGGAGGAGGAGGAGGAGGAGAAGAGAGAGAGAGAGAGAGAGAGAGAGAGAGAGAGAGAGAGAGAGAGAGAGAGAGAGAGAGAGAGAGAGAGAGAGTCAAGTGATTCAGAGACTTGTTGTGTCTATATAGCACCACAACGCACCTCTTACCAAACACAACTTTACACAAACCCACTACTCACCACACACACTTTCACACAACGACCACCACACACACACACACACACACACACACACACACACACACACACACACACACACACACACACACACACACACACACACACACACACACACTTTACACAACGCATCTCACTCACCACAGTCAAACACACTTCGTCGTAAAACTCCATTTCAGTGGGTTCAGAGTCATAAAAATTTCTCAAGGAATGTAAGTTTTATTTATTTTTAACCCAAAACTGGAGATGGGAAAACGTACCTAGTTATGATAGAATTCTGGGCACTCAGAGGTGTTGTGTGTGTGTGTGTGTGTGTGTGTGTGTGTGTGTGTGTGTGTGTGTGTGTGTGTGTGTGTGTGTGTGTGTGTGTGTGTGTGTGTGTGTGGTTTCTTCACTGTCAGAATTTAAATGATGGAAACATACACACAACATACACTGAACAAGAGGAACGTACACACAACATACACTGAACAAGAGGAACATACACACAACATACACTGAACAAGAGGAACGTACACACAACATACACTGAACAAGAGAAACACATGTATACTCGAGAGTAAATATTTAACACCTATGTATACTCAGAGTGATAATATATAACACATATGTATACTCACAAGTCAAATACGAGATAATGGAACGATTCCTCCTGTATACTATCGTGCAGGCGAACTGTAAACAAAGAGACATAAACATTAGAAGAGTTTACGTAAACAATCATTTTTGTCAACACAGTCATATATATTAACACATTCATATATGTAAACACAGTCACATATATGTAAAGTCTTATATATAAACAGTCATATAAAGTCGCACATAAGTAAACACCAGTAGCATATATGTAAACACATGCATGTCAATAATTTTCAATGGCTTTATAGACATATTTTCGTTGTTATTGTTTATATACCCGACTTAGAGATCGTTCGTGTCGTCATTATTATCGTTTCTGGTGTCTTTCTGTTCTCATTCACTACGACCGCAAAGAGAACACGATACAGCGTTAAAGTTTTGCCCATTGAAGCATCTATGTGTTAAAATATTATAGTATAATGTTAGTTTTGATGTGGAAGGTTAATTAAGAGTTAAAAGGCGTTGTTATCATTATTATCATTCCAACACACACACACACACACACACACACACATACACACACACACACACACACACACACACACACACACACACACACTTAACTCTTTAGAATATTAAAGGTATACATATAATTATAAGTATTATCAGAAAAAACGACATCTCTTTTTTTTCAGCTGCGAGACACAACGAAAAGTTCTACAATATTGGCACCATTACAAACGTACACGACAACAGTACAGCATGGCACAGTACAGCATGGCACAGTACAGCATGGCACAGTACAGCATGGCATAGCATGGCATATGGCATGGTATCTGGAAGTGGCCGTCTTTACAATATTAAGTAACCTACAAAACGTATTATCATTTTCCTAAATTATTCACAACCAGGTGTTTCTTTATACCTACACCACCCCCCGTACAGTACACCAGTCTGTACTCTCCTCATAGTGTCATCTGTTTAGTACAACGAGATATACTGTACATAACTATTACATATTGTACATTAGGTGTTGTTACTGCTACATGTTCAACACTGGTCTGAGTGCCACATATTCAACACAACATAACTTTATACACATGTGATGAAGGAAGCGGGTGAGAGGAGCTCCAGGTGTAAGAAACTCAAGTGTGTACAGGTGTGATACTATCAACAGTGGCTACCTCACCAACACACTCTCTCACCTACCACCACCTACCACCTACCACCACCTACCACCACCACCATCAAAAGACCCACTCATCTTACCCCTTTGGGACCTCCTTTTCACAAACGCCACCTCCACCCCCTCTTGAACCACCTTTTTACTGCTAGTACACAACCTCTCCAGACACACACACACACACACACGCGCCAATTCGACCCTCCTTCCCTTCTTTCTCTTATCTTTCTCCCATCCTCTTCTCTCTCACACACAAACAAAACATGTTTCACTCCCCACGACCCGCTTGTGTGTGTGTGTGTGTGTGTGTGTGTGTGTGTGTGTGTGTGTGTGTGTGTGTGTGTGTGTGTGTGTGTGTGTTGTGTGTGTGTGTGTGTGTGTGTGTGTGTGTGTGTGTGTGTAGAGAGAGAGTGCGCGGGCGTTATCATTTTTCTGCGGGGACAAAACTCTACGGTCTCTCCCCCTACATTTCACTACCCCTACACACACAGTAATTATATATATATATACATATACCCCTATATATATATATATATATATATATATATATATATATATATATATATATATATATATATATATATATATATATATATATATATAATGTACACAATGCATTAGCCAGTGTTGCTAAATGGAGGCCAAGTATTTTCCCAGTGGTGGTGTAGGATGATACAGTGTACTACACACACAGTGATGAGTGAGGGAGGTAAGGTAGGTGGAGGTAAGAGAGGGATGGAGGTAAGAGAGTGGGGGAGGTAAGATAGGAGTGGAGGTAAGGTTGGGGCATAGGTGAGAGGTAGAAGTGAGGTAGGGGGATGGGTGAGGGAAGAGGAGGTAAGACAGGTGAGGATGATAATTAGAGGTGTAGGAAGAGGCAGAAACAGGTGTAATAATTCAGGCAGGTCGCTCACTAGTGCTATCTGGCCCCGGCTCAATCAATACTGGAGTCCCACGTCCCCCAGGTCCTCCTCCACCAGGTGTCCCTCCTCCACCAGGTGCCTCACTCCACCAGGTGTGTCCCTCCTCCACCAGGTGTGTCCCGCCTCCACCAGGTGTGTCCCTCCTCCACCAGGGTGTGTTCCGCCTCCACCAGGTGTGCCCTCCACCAGGTGTGTCCTCCTCCACAAGGTGTGTCCCTCCTCCACCAGGTGTGTCCCTCCACCAGGTGTCCCTCCTCCACCAGGTGTGTCCTGCCCACCAGGTGTGCCCTCCTCCACCAGGTGTGTCCCTCCTCCACCAGGTGTGCCCCTCCTCCACCAGGTGTGTCCCTCCTCCACTAGGTGTGCCCCTCCTCCACCAGGTGTGTCCCTCCTCCACCAGGTGTGTCCCTCCTCCACCAGGTGTGTCCCTCCTCCACCAGGTGTGTTCCTCCTCCACCAGGTGCCCCTCCTCCACCAGGTGCCCCTACCCACCAGGTGTCCTCCTCCACAGGTGTGCCCTCCTCCACCAGGTGTGCCTCCTCCACCAGGTGTGCCTCCACCAGGTGTGTCCCTCCCCCACCAGGTGTGTCCTCCTCCACCAGGTGTGCCCTGCCACCAGGTGTGCCCTCCTCCACCAGGTGTCCTCCACCAGGGTGTGCCCCTCCTCCACCAGGTGTGTCCCTCCTCCACCAGGTGTGTCCTCCTCCACCAGGTGTGTCCCTCCTCCACCAGGTGTGTCCCTCCTCCACCAGGTGTGCCCCTACTCCACCAGGTGTGTACCTCCACCCAGGTGTGTCCTCCTCCACCAGGTGTGTCCCTCCTCCACCAGGTGTGTTCCTCCACTACTACAGGTGTGTCCTCCACTACTACAGGTGTGTTCTCCACAACTGGTGTGTCCTCCACCACCAGGTGTCTCCTCTACTACTACAGGTGTCTCCTCACTACTACAGGTGTGTTCCTCCACTACTACAAGTGTGTTCCTCCACTACTACAGGTGTGTTCCTCCACTCACTACAGGTGTGTTCCTCCACCACTACAGGTGGAGTACTAACACAGGTAATAACATAGCATCTCATCACCTTCCTCAGTCCTCCACCACTAGCTGACATGGTGGTGCTTGTGGCCACGGTGAGGAAACATGAGGGAGGAGGGAGATAGAATGAGTTAAAATGAGGAAGAGGGAAGAAGGAATTAGAATGAGGGAGGAAGAGAGAAATGATGAGGAAGGAGAGGAAGAGATGGGTCAATGAGGGAGGGGGGGAGGAGGAGGGAGGGAGGGAGGAGGGAGGAGGGGTAAACATTACATCAGCCAAATAACATTACATCCTCACTTGTTTCCACCAACCAACCCCCCCCACACACACACACACACACCTGATCTAATACCAAAATCACATACGTTCATTATTGTCATATCATTCTCTAACTTGTGTCAACCGTGAAGTAAAAATATTTTCCAGTGGTGTATTGTTGTTGTTGTTATTGTTGTTGTTATTGTTGTTGTTGTTGTTGTTGTTGTTGTTGTTGTTACTTTGTTGTTTTTGTTGTCTTTGTTGCTGTTATTATTTTGTTTTTGTTTTTGTTGTTGTTTTTGTTGCTGTTGTTTTGCTGTAGTTGTTGTTGTTGTTGTTTTTGTTACTGGTAGTGGGAAATTGCCTTATGAGAGACAGGACAAAGACACAAACAAACAAAGACAAACAGAGAAAAATAACAATACTATAATCTCTTGTCGTTAATTTCAATATTTTATTATAATCACCAATCCTTGTGTTAGGGTTCATAAGATAATAAAAAGAGAGGAACAAAAAATAATAAATATATAAAAATAATTATTCAACCATCTTTACAATTACCACAGAAGTCATCTCAAACTGATCAATTTTATTCATTAATTCTTTATCAATAACCTGAAGCAAAAAAACAAAAACAATCCCAATTACCCAGAAGAACAGACAATATATACAATACAATATAAACAATATATCATTAGTCGTCCAGGATGTATTGTAAAGATGAAATGAATGTGAATAATATTGTTATGTCGAGGTAAAAAATATATTAAAAAAATATCATCAATTTGCTTACTAACCTTGGAGAACAAAAACTATTGATACTTTTTTTTTTTTACTTTTTGATGTATAGAAAGTAGGCGTTCAAATTAACTTAAAAAATAGTATTAAAATTATTGATAGAAATTTGTAGCTTTTCAGAAATGTTGACGAGTGTATAATATACACATTACACCTGTCTCATGGTCACACCTGTCTTATGGTCACACCTGTCTCATGGTCACACCTGTCATGGTCACACCTTCAAGCACAGGTACAGTAGGACAGGTGTATAATGAGTCAGGTAAACATAAGTGAAGGGAAAGGTCATTATGGGTGGGAATAATTCAGTGACTTTATAAATTGGTTTGAGTGGTAATATTTTCACTCGGCTAATAAGTGTTTGACCAATATGTGCAGCCAATATGTGCAGCCAATATGTGCAGCCAATATGTGCAGCCAATATGTACAACCAGTGATTCCAAGGGGGTCATAAAACAAGAAGAATAAACAAGACAAAACCATATCAGTTAACCGAGAAACAAAAACATATACTGATACACAGGTAAGATAAAGAGGTAGTGAAGAGAAATAGAAAGTGAGATACAGAGATAGAGAAAGGTAAATTTAAGGCTAAGGTCTCTTCTCTCTCTCTCTCTCTCAGGTAATTAATCTTTAGGCTGTTCCTCGGCTGTGACATGAGGCAAGATTCACCTCCTACAGCCGAGATACAGCAACAGCCGGCCTCCCACCCCCATCCCCTGTTGTATCCGAGTATAGGTTAGAGGCCAACACACCAGGCAGGAAAGTATCCGGCATAAAAGGTCAGCCCGGCAGCCGGCCAAACCTCCCCCCTCCCCCATCTCAGCTGGTAGTCTCAGCCATCCTGATTGTTCTGAGAAAATTGGATTTTCTGGCTCTGCTCAGCGAGTATTGAATCAG